TTGCTACAGTATTTTAAAATATTTAATTCTATTATAGAGGTCAAGAAAACATAGAGGCTGAAGGTTTGGCTCATCGATAGAGTGTCTGACTAGCATGCCTAAGGTCCCAGGTTCAATACCCATAACTGCTCATCCCTGCCCCCGAAAATGAAAGAAAACAAATGTGCTGAATGAAAGTCCTAAGGAGTAACATCAAATGTGGGAAAGAAGCACCACAGGCTTGGGTATGTGCAGACATGAACAGGTAAACTGGTAGAGAAAGACAAAATTCTGAAAATATATTTAAAATAGGTAAGTTAGTAACTACCTGATATAAAAATACAATACACAGAAAATATGATAAAAAAGAAAGAGGCTGAGGGACTAAAACATTCAGCCATCATTAGGTCATCTCTAGACTGACAACCGTGTGGCCTCCCTATACAAAGCTACCCACTGTAGACACTCCAAAGGACTTGTTCTGGAACAGGGGATCACCCCTAGGAAAGCAAATAAAACTGCTTGCTATGCAGTGAAGACGCTCTCCTTTAATCCCAGCACTCTGGAGGCAGAGGCAGGTGGATCTCAGAGTTCCGGAACAGCCTGGTCTACACAGGCTGTGTTGAAATCAAACAAACAAACAAACCTGTGGCTAATCAGCAGACAAGTTTGCAGGCCACAACTATATGCAGTGTGCCTGTCCCATATCGATACTGACCGGGGCATCTTTAGTACATTGATATTTCGGTCCTGGTATCAGCTCTGGTCCGGAGCCCTGCCATCAACGTACAGAGGCTGGTGTGAAAGAGATAGACAAGGCCAGCTTAGGCTACATAGCAAGAGTCACCAAAAGAGGAAGAAAAAGAAGGACAAGTGAACACTATGTACACATGAGGACATGTGTAGCATGAACTTCAAGTGATACTAGGCAAGCACTGTTCCAAGGAGCTAAGTGCCCAGCTCTTTGCATCCTGTCTTGGGTGTATCAACCTACTCCATGGCTTTCCTCTTGCTTCTGGGCCGTGTTTTAAACTGAGCTGAGAAATTCCAGATTCGATCATTTTAACCTGGTTGCTGACTGCTTCTACTGCATCGCCTCTGCAATGGCTCAGCACTGTATTCGGGATCAAATCACTGCAGCAAGGTAATTTCTCGGGGAACACCTACAGAAACAGAATCTGCATTTTAACAAGATCTCCGAGTGATTCATATGCATATTACAGTTTAAGAAGCAAGGTTGAAACTTAAAACCCCCACAGACACAAAAAAGTTGCATCTCAGAACTCTGCTCTGAACATTAGAACTGAACACAAGGCATTACATGCCCAGGACAGTGACTCTGACCCTCCACGAGGCAGCAAACACAAGGAGAACCATCACCTTCCAAGGCTCCTGTACCGGGAAAAAGCACCTCTGCCCTTGCCTGTCCTTCAAACAGGATCACTAAAGAGCAACACAGTTTGAGAAGCGCTCCAAGCAGGTATCACAGCAAACCGTTACATTACTTCTGCAATCTCATAGTTGCTGGGAGTTCAGAAAATCTCTTTCAGATGACACCATGTCAAGAATACAAACCTAAAGAATATTAAGGCTTCTAGTAAAAGAGAAAGGGTTATTTATGAATTCCTTAAAGAGGCTGTGGTGACCTCACAAAGGTCACTACGTAGTGCATAAGACTGAAAAGCCTTGTTAATGGGATGCCCATGTTCTCGTGATTTTATTCATAGTTTTCCTGACACATACTGGAGACTCAGTAAATGTTCTAAAAATAATAGAAAACTAGTAACAAAGGCTACTGTCGCTGGCCTTTATTGATATAAAACACAAGATTTCTTTAATTAAATTATTTAGTTTTAAGAAGTTTCTGAAACCTAAAACATAATTCTATACTTTAAATTAACATGGTCATAACATTCTCCCACCCTGTATCAAATCTTCAAGGTAAGGTTTGTACTTTCTGTTAATAATTCTATTCTGGTATTCCATGACCCTATTAAATACATCAACCTATACAATTAGAAACAAATGTGCCTGTGAAAGATAGGGAAATCACTTTAAGTGTTAGGCAGCAATACAATCAGATCTTTTGAATGTGGGGAGGGGATTGAAATAGTTTCTTACTATGTATCCCAGGATGGCCTTGAACTTTCAGTGCTGCTAATTCAGCCTTCTGAGTCCTAACACTACAGGCATGTGCCACCATGTATGTCTCAGCGAATCCAACCATTCTCAAATAACCAATGAGTACAAGGAATATAATACGAAGTTCAGCTATTATTTTTCTCGGTCCAGGTTAAGACATCTCAAGGTAACATTTATTCAAAATCTCTGTAAGAGAATTGGACTAACATTAGAGACGATACCACCCCCACAAAGCTCATACACAAGGCTAATGAAGCACTTTTGTTGAGAATGTTTTGCCTAGTAAAGAAAAAGATTAACAAGAATATAAAACTTTCCGACATTATTCCTGTAAAGAATACGCTCTCTATTGCTTCTCAAAGAGAAAGTGTTTGAATTTCAAAGAAAAAGACTCTGATCTTAACTCTCCACTGCCTAAATAAAGCTTTACAAAGATAAGCAAACATATACAGTAAATGGGCAAATGTATTCTATTTCAAATAACGTATTGAATCCCTGACACAACACGTCAAGTACTGACAAGAACTATCAAAGCACTCAAAAGACATGAGACATTTGGGCACAGTTTTGTGCCACTGTTTAACCTGAGTTTGTTTAAATAAATGTATGCAAGAACTGACAACTGGGTCACAGAAGGGCTGCCCGTACAGAAGTGTCACACACACACACATACACACACACACACACACACACACGATGAACCTACAACAGTACTGCTTGGATTTGGTTTTTCAATTACTACCCTCAAAAGGGGAAGAAAGGGGAATGAACAAATGCCCACCCTGAGTAGAAAGCAGCTTTCAAATTCCAAGCGTATCCACTTTCATGTTAAACAAGGGAAGCAACAAGAAAGAGTAATTTTCCTATTCATTACAGAAGAGATAAGAATGGCAGTTCTGTTTGCAAACTTAATTCACTCCAACTAGTCCCGTTAACTGCCCAATGAAAGCCAAACGCCCTCAGTTACTCAAATCTTACCATGACCCAAGTTCTTTAGGAAATGAGCTAAATGCACATCATCTTTCTTTTCTATATAAAACTCAGTTTGAATGAAAGAAACAACATACTTATTTTATAAGCAACAGAAAGTCTGAATTTAAAATTTTCATACCCAAAGAGCTGGTTTGTTCACATACGAAGACATACTTCAATGGCAATCCTTTAAAATCCATTACACAAACTACTACGCAGTTAGTTCTGGACATCAGAGGACCCAAATACAAGGCTGATAGCCCAAGAGGCTCAATGGCTGACCCTCTAGAGGATAAATTTTCATAATCTGCCATTTCCTTGCTTTAAGCAGTCAGTGGCCAGAATTAATAAACTCTTTGAGGAGTTATTTCAGTTATGCATCTCTTGTTCAGTTAAAAACAGTTTAATCTTAATGGCTCCTTTCTAGGGACAAGAAAGATGATGCTCAAAGGACAGCTAAATAGTAGTATTTGGAGGTTCACTGGACAGGCTTGGGAGAGGGTATCTTTGAAGATGGTGCCTAAAAGCAGGAATAACCCCAAGGACAGGTGAGCCGAGAGACTCAAGTATCAAAACATACAAAAGCACAACTGACTTTCAAACTAAATCTCTTAAACATGGGTGAACTGCATGTGATCATTCTGACCCAGGACATCACCTTCTACTAATAAAGCAAAACTCTGCCTTACTAACATCTATACAGAACTTCATAGACTATTTCTGCATTTCGAAATAATATTGGCTAATCACAGCAGTAGCAGGCTTTTCTGTGGGTATTTCCATGTAAGTTGTACACCTTTCAGCTTCACATGCAAGTTCATGTGATGAAAATAAAAAAGCAATAGTCCACTTGACTTTAGGTTTTGAGGAGCAAATTGACAAAGATACGATATCAAATTCCAAGTCTATCATCTCTAAAGCATGTATGACAGCAGGCATACCCTGGAAAGTGGTATCACACAACACACTTGCACAACTCCCCAGGCTCCCTGCAGAGATGATGCCAGAGCCTAAGGACGGCGGAGCTGGTGGGCAAGCATACTCTGAAGAGGCACTCCAGGGGATTCTATACTGGACCCACAGCCTCCTGCCCTCATTGCCATTTTCCACTAATAACATCCATCCCACCACCCGCTGCTGAGACACTTTCTCTCTTTTTTCTATACTAAATGGTACTTAAGTGAAATCATTAGGATAAAACCCCTAAATTCAATTGGCACTCACTCAGTTTCTAAGCGGTAAAAATAAATCCACGAATGGCAAGTCGTCTATGCTTCCTTCCACAAAATTTCACTGTAAAGCTACATAAAAATTTCAGATATCAAAGTCGTGTACAGTCACAGCTTTGCACACAGAGTATCTGTCAGCTAATATAGGTCCATAAAACAGATGTTCACAACCAAGTAGCAGTTCAAAAAGGAAGAGTTCAGCAGCATGATCCACTTACGCTGAAGTAAGGAATAACTCCGACACATTAAAGCAAGTAAATAAAGAAAATTATTTCAAGGCTAGCGTAAATCTCCCAGTGTACCTTATACCCTGTATTTATAATGTAGAGGCAGAAAGTGATTACTGACGGGTACTCTTAAAGAAACCCCTTGCAAAAGTAGTTATATTTCAAAACCTCCTGATTTTCAGTGTCCCGGTACCCACGCTCCTCCACTCCACTGGAACGTATCTCACAAACTTCTTCAACTTGCTTATTTCTCCCTGGTGGTTTATGCCCACCGTATATTACATTAACCAATCTGATACCTCCCAAACACCACACTCCTGAAATCACCCGACAACAGGTGCATACCAACAACTTCAAATTCCTTACAAAACCTAGTAGTTGTCAAATCTATCCTGCATAGGCCCCAGTGCTGAAAGGGAACTTAGGGAACAATCTGAAAAAGCATACTCACCTTGATCGGAGCACAACTAAACTTAATTTTCCTATTTGCTGGGATTTCTTCTTCCTCAGGCAACCCAACGATCTCAGAGTACTCCATATCGGGCTGATAGTAATTGTCATCACTGTCGTCCTCTTCCTCTTGCTCAGTGCCTGTCTCCCCCCAGTCTGAATTATACCTGGATCTCACCCTATACACATTATAGTCACTATGCATGTATACATGGGAACTCTCAGAATTATTTGGGTCTTCGGGGACTTCTTTCCCACAGCCGGGTGCAGAGGCATCGGGAGAGGTTACATCACCACCTGTAAGGTCTTTCTTCTGTTGCTGTGCCGTCTCACTCCCAACCACATTAGCTTCAGCATCTCCTGAAGCTTCACTTTGTGGGGAGAGGATATCAGACTTTGGCATTGCCTGGTTCTCAGCAGAGAGCTCCTCAGGAATATCTTTGTCAGTGCTGCCCAGAGCCTCTTGGGGAGACGTGAAGTCCTCGGCTTCCTTGCTCGGCTGTATCTCTTCACCAGGCAATGAAGCTAGAGAGGTACCTTTCTGAGCCACTTCCGAAGTTGCACTACTCTGCTGAGCATCCTCTGTCTCAATACCGTGTTTGTTTAAAGAAGATCTTGAATTAGAATCCTTGAGGTGGCCAAAGGTATCAAGATTGGTAACGGTAACAGACGGCAAATTCAGAGGGTAATGCCCAGTCACTGAGTAATCACCGTTTTCAGCCTGGTCAGAAGGGATGGCCCCCGGAGACTCGGTGCTCTCAAATACAGCACTCAGTTGACTCACTGTTGGGGAGACAGCCTCAGTCCGGGGACTCAGGCTGTCCAAGGAATCGCTGCTGCCTCTGTTGGACTTGGAACCACCCCACTCATCCTGTGGTTCAGCCCCTCCGGCTTTCTCTTTCTTTGGGGAGTAGCGGTTATTGTGCCCTGACTCACGCACACTTCTCTCAAACATCTTCCGAGTCTCTGTGAACTTAGCATATGAAGGGCCATCGTGCATTGTGTCAAATCTACTGATTCGTTCAGAAACAGAGGACTCCAACTTAACCACTGAGCCATCTGTTTTCTCCACAAATTCTTTGGGCTTCATTCTCCTCTGAGGGGATGAAGGTCTACCTTTCCCCCTAGTTTTGGCATCGACAGCAGCATTCTCATTGGGTTCCATACCCATCTGCATAAATAGATTTTTAATTCTGTTGACATTGGAGCCATATTTCCTACCCCTGCTCTGCTGGGAGCCCTCGCCGTCTTTTGCTTTCTGTTCCCCATCTGACTTGGGTTTGTCAAAAGTACTTTTCAGTGCCTGGAACTCTGTTCTGTACGCATTCCTGTGAGGAGAGGCACTTCTGAGAGTGGTCCGTTCACCTGAAGACTCGGCTTTCAACATGTTTACTTCAAGGGTGAAAAGCCAATGCTCATAATGATCAGGGAGGAAACAACAGAAAAGAAAAACCACTCTCTTCCCAATGCCCAGGACTGGGTCAAGTAAAGGACCTCTCAAATGGCATGCTTTTCCAGTGATGATCCCAAGGCTGTATTAGCAACTTTTTCACAGTCAAGAGTTACACAAAATGGCTTTTTCACAGGAAGGCTAGAGGCTCATCTGTAACAGAAAAGAATGGGTTTCTCAATTCATGTATCTACCTGAATTTCTAATTAGTCAACTAATCTACATTTAACACACACTTTATGTTCCAAGTGGTTTAGCCACACAGAAACTGCATTACTTCTAATTGGGACATTAAGGTTAAGATGCTAAAAAGTTATTCTGGTTGGTCATTGGTAATAAAAGTGTTTGAAATATAACTTGGAGATCCTTACAAATCACCATTTCCTATTCCTCCCACCCCACCCTACTTGGACCTCTCCCTACACTTGACAGTGATGCTTTAAGCCTGTTTGGATTGTTTCTGTAAAGGACTGTGAAAGAACCATACAACTCAGATACTCCTCAGAACATCATCAAAGTGGCCATTTCATTTGGGAATTTCCCATAGTCATGCAGAACTGGGAAAAGTTTGACGTCTATGTTTCCAAACCATGTTGCCTACAGACTTATTTGGTGGTTCTGGTCCAGAATTCTCATGTGCAACATGCTCAAAGTAACCTAGTCAGTGCTATTCCAAGACATAACAGAGAGAAGTAAGTTCTGGAATGTCAATCAAGTTCCACCATAAGTTGTTCGATGCATTCTTTGGAAGTTTCCTGGCCAAAAGGCTATTATTAATTAGGGAGTGGGATGTATCGTCTTGTGGGAATAGATGGAATCAGAAATCAAGTATACCATGACATGGCCATAGCCCTGATCTGTCCATTCCAGATGGGAAGTGGGGGGGGGGGGGGACAAAAACAAAAACAAAAAAAAACGCAAACACCATGCATGCTTGCTCTTCTCCAGCCCACAGCTGGATTTTCCATCAATATGCCAGCAGTCCCAACTTGAGGCAGCCAATACAGTTCTAAACATTATTCATTTTGGTTTGTTAGGGTTCAATATTAGACTGAACCTCATCACCCTCACGCACCAACAGCTGAGGAAGCCCACACTCTCACTCAAATCAGCTCCAAACTCGTTTCCTGGCCCAGCACACATGCATGGCCGGCCCATGCAGGCAAACAAGAAAGGCTTTCTGAGTGTGGTGCCTGTGGTTTGGGGTGTTTTGTTTTTTGTTTTGTTTTGCTTTTTTTGGTTTTTGTTTTTGGTTTTATTTTTTTATTGTTATTATTATTCTTTTTGGGAAGGCGTTGAGAATGTGCTTTTACCCTGAAGCACCCTCCCCTCCACCCCACTTGCACACCCCGCCCCCTCCCCCCCCAATTCGAGCCCGAGGGGGGCGGGGGGCGGGGGCGAAGGGGCGGCCAGGGATTCCAAAAAAAAAAAAAAAAAATCCTGCCCCTCACAAAAGACAAACATAAATAACACCAACTTGAGAGGCGGCCGCCGATTCCCAAGCCCGGTTCGGGACGCAATCCCTCGGGCCCCCGGGCAGGGCCGGGAGAGCAGGTGACGCCAAGCGCTCCGGTAGGAGGTCGCAGTCTAGCTTTGCGCCAAGAAGCACCTGAAGTCCTAACCCCCGCCCCGGGCTGCGGTCCCGGCGGCCGCCAGGCGGATCCCAGTGCGTGGCGCCGGGAGGAGGCGAGCTCCCGGGCCACTAATGCCCAGCGGAGAGCGAGCAAACGGGAGGGTGGCGACCACACACGCGCCTCTCGCCTTTCCCTCCCAGTGTGAGGGGAGACAATAGAGCCCCCGGCGACAGCCCCGGCCCCGCCACCCCGGCCGGCGCTCCCGCCCGCCCGCGGCCCACCCCCGCCCGCCCGCCCGCCCGCGGCCCACCCCCGCCCGCCCGCCCGCGGGCCCGCGGGCCCGCCTTTGTGCACGCCGCCGCGTCCCCGCGCTCCCGCCGCCCCGCCGCCCGCACGCCGCCCCCTTACCGAGCGGCCCGGCCGGGCGGGAGGTCGAGCTCCTCGGGCGGCTCTCCCCGCCTCCCCCCTCCGCCCCCCGCGGCCGTGCGGGCTCGGCGCCGACCGTGTGCCCTCCACCCGCTCGTGACGGCGCGGCGCGCGCGGCGGCCGCCTGCACTCGCGCCTCGGCCCCCACGCGCGTCCTCCCCGCGCGGGGCGGCCCCGGGACGCGCGCGGCGCTCCCCCGCCCGCCCCACCCCACCCGCCCCGCGCCCCGCCATGGCGGCCCGGCCTGGGGCCCCGACGCGCTAGCACCCTGGGCTGCGGCCTGGGGCTGGGACGCGGCTCGGCCCACGTGCGGGGGGCCCCCCACGCCAGGGCCGCGAGGCCCGGTGCACTAGAGGCCCGGCCTCGGGGATGAGGAAGGCCCGGGGTAACAGGTGCCTCACCTCGGCGGATGGGATTAACTCTAGGGCCGCAGAGAGAGGGAGCCCAGCCGCGAAATCCCAGGAGAGGGAGAGAGGGAGCCTCTGGCGGCCAACGGAGGGCGAAAAGCACCGGCCCGAGGCAAGGCCGCCCCACCCCCAAGACCGTGGGCGAGGGGGCTCAGCGCTTAGGGCAAGGCCTGTGCCTCTCGGGCCTGGCAAGGGTGGGCCCCGCGGCCGGGTCTGCACTGCCACATGCGGTGGAGCCAACAGAGTCTGTGGCTAACCTGGTGACCCCCAGACCCAGACATTCCAAGTCACACGATGGCCTGAGCTGGCCTACAAAGCAAGACCTAGTGCGGCCTCCACAAGGAAGGCCCAGCTGGACCTCAAGGCCCCATTGCTACGAGGAAAGGGGTGAAGAGGACTTGGGATTTTCTCCGTGTACGGTTTCCCAGTTCACGAACCCTGGTTTTGCCCTTTTATACACTGAGTGCACCCAGCCCCCTCAAATACATGAAGTGTGGCATGCATTTCTACAGCACACCCAATGGACCTTCGCGGTCCATAGAGATCATTAACCCATCCAAAAGTCCTGTGGGGGCAGACGTAGAACTTTTGAAGAGTCGAAGTCATGTGTTTTGCCACATATGTGTGGGGCGCACATGTAATCCCAACACTGAGACAGGACAATTGAGTTTGAGGACAGCCTAAACTACAAACCCAGCCCTTGTCTGAAGGATCCAACAGCAGGACTCAGGCCTTTAATCCCAGCACTCTTACTCGAGGGGGCGGGGGGGGGGGGGTGGCAGGTGTTATCTCTGAGTTCGAGGCCAACCTGGGTTACAGAATGAGTTCCCAGACAATCCAGGATACACATAGAAATGCCTGGGGGGGGGGGGGGACCCTCAGAGTAACAACAATTTGGAAATTATATGTGTATGTAGAAACACCAGCAAAATAGTGCAACCCTCTTAATACAGGCAATTGAGACAAAACTATTTCATATTCCATAAAGCACCAGAATGTTAGATTTAGAATGTCTGTAGTACCTGGCAGCCAAGGCAGGGGATAGGGGCACGACTCGATGCTGCCGCCCTTCAGCCTGACCTGTTCCCTAACTGTGTAGATTGAAAAATCTCAACCTTTGCTTAACTGTGAAAAACAAATGTAGAATTAGCCGATACGGGACAGGGTAGGGCCTTTTAAAGAGCATTTTAGAGTAGATCTTAAGCACACAGGTGAAGAGAGGTGGTGTGAGATGAAGGTGAACTCCAGAGCACGGACGTAGGTCCCTCTGAGAGTGCCTCTGTTGTCCTGCCAGTATATACCAATGTATGTCACTTCTGATGTACGCCATTCCTGTCAGTTTTGAAACTGTCGCTTTCAAAGGCTGACCAACGGACCTAAAGGAGATACCAGGGTGGTCCTGAGGGTTTCAATAGATAAGGTAAAACTCTAGATCTCTGAAATTTGGAAAGATAGGCTATCTTCACTATAAACAAAGTTAATAAGTCTTGTTTCAGATTTCTAGAAAATGTCTGGATAATGGAATAAGGCCCTTCCAAGGTCATGTGCAGCCTAGTTTTAAGCCGGTTTCGCAGCTATTTTAACTTAGTTTCTGTGTGAGTGAGTGTATGTGTGTATGTATGTGTGTACCTGCAACTTTTACTGCAAATGTCACTCAGTAATTGTGCTGGAAGTCTTTCCTGTCATCTAACAAGTGGTCTCAGCTCTGAGATGAAGGGTTTATTTCCCTTCCATGCTCCAACAATTTTTCCCATCATCTTCAAGGATACATTCCAAGCCCCATCACACTCCCAGTTTATAAAATAAAGATAGTACTGGACTGTGCATGTGTGTGTGTGTGTGTGTGTGTGTGTGTGTGTGTGTGCTCTCCAGCTTTTGCCATATCTAACCATAAAGCTTACTTTGTAAGTCACAGTAAATGAAACAATGTCCTGTAGAAGTTAATTAAAACAATGTTTTTCCATCAAAATATAGTTGAAATTTTTAAAGATTTATCTTATTTATGAGTATGTGTTTATGTGTGAAGGAATGGTATATGCACATGAATACAGATGCCCATGGAGGCCAGAAGACTATATCAAACCTCTTGGAACTGGAGTTATAGACTGTGGTAAGCTTCCTGGTGTGAGTGCTGAACTCGGGTCTAATGGAAGAACAGTCTAGGAACTTAACCACTGAGCCATCCATCCCTGTAGCCTGAAATATCACTACTGGAAAAATGAGGGCTGGGCTTGTGATGTATCCCAATTGCATTGCCTAAAATAATGACTAGAGAATGGCCAGACAACTGTTCACAAAGAATCTGTGTGAAAAAAACCTTTGTAGCTACTTAATTTTATAGATCTGATTTTCAACCAGACTTTTTTCCCCCCTTTTTTAAGCATCGCCATATTCTCTGTCCTTACCAAAAAAACTGGCATTCCCTGTCTGGGAAGTGGATGCCACTTCTATAAGCATCGACAGATGTAACTGGCAATGTGAGGGGGCTGTGGTTCCAGTCTCCACTTTGGGAAGGAACATTTGTGCTGTCTGGATAATCTAGTGGAAAAGTTCCTGTCATTTATTTGCGGCTGCGGCATGGAAATCAGTTTT